GTTAAAATAACCATATTTATGTTTTATTTTTGAAATATGTATTTATAGCATGCAAATTGTGTTTTAATTAGGTTGCAAAGTTATTCTCATAGATTGCGCCAGATCCACTTAAAGGAGMGGCGTAACATTTACTGACCGTACCCCTCATACCCGCCCACCCAACAGTGTCCAGTCCTGTATATCTTAGTTCATGGTTCATGGTAATAACATAACAAAATAGGTATAGAGTATAAATATACCAATCGGTTTTATCGGTGGACCGCGCTTATCAGCTAGCGGCTTTTTTTTAAATATTTTTAAATTTGTAAATTATATGGACAAAATATTGTATTTATATTATAAATAATTATAATTATAATTATATTATTTAATACATACAAATAAATGATTCTTAATTTTATCATATTAATATAGATTTAGACAAAACACCCCTCCGAAAATATTTCCTACCTACGCCCATGTGCGCTGACATCGCAGTAATATAATAATATAATGTCCTATATTCTTTTATAGGTCTATGTCCTATCTCCTATAATGTAACAACCACAGATTTGTGTAACAAACTAACAATTAGGTATTTAGACTATAATATAGTATAATATAATAGTCGACGACAATAATTATTAGTTGTCATCGGCTTATCGTTAAACCTCGCGTTATCAATTATTATTAAAAAGACATAATATAATAATATGTATTATAATCTATCTGTGATTAAAATGTTTAAAACGACCATTGATATCGGCATTCGGCATATCGCACAATATTGGTTCAACTTGTTTAATTTATAATTATAATAACTTCAGACTTCATAATAGATCTTCAATCGTATTTCATGAAATACTACAATTTCACCTGATAGAAGCACACGGATAAAACATAACATGCATAATATGTTTAAGAGTAGAAATAGTAGAGTACAAGATTATGACAATCATGTTGCTTCTAGTTTCAGACGTCCCAGCAATGAAGATGAAGATGAAGTTAAACCGTCAGAAGTATTATACATATTACTATATTTTTTCTTTATTATTCTTTCACCTCCGCTTCTTGATTATTGGGCTTAGATTTTTTACTTAAACTGCTGTTATTCAGTTAACTAACATAAACATATCTATTTGGTGAATAATATTTTTATAGGCATAGTTCTAATCTAAAATTAATTGCTCTGTAATTTGGTTAGGTATGATAAAAATACTTTTTTTTTACAACTTATGTTTAGTATATAATAAAATTGATACTTAGGGCCATTCTTACAATGCTCGGTTAGTGCCTGATAACACTAACCGGAAGAATTTATCATGARTTAACCGATAGAATTCTACCGGTTAGTCTTAACCGACACTTAACCGGACATTGTAAGAACGGCCCTTAATGTTTTTATTTAATTGCAGAAGGTTTACAATGAAAACAGTCCACTTTTCAATAAGACAGTTCCTAAAACTATAATAATAGCTCAACAAATAGCTGCTGAGAGCTTAGAAACTCAATTAAATACTCAAAAAAGAAATCAGTATTTAGCTGCATTAATTGGTAGGTTGAATATTTTAGCCTTTATTAACAATGAATTATTTGTTTGATATGACTGCAGCCACTATTGGAGGGTTCATCATGGGTACGACACTTGGATGGACAGCTCCCGCAGGCCCAATGATGGAAAACGGCCAATACGGGTTCCAAATTACTGTAGAAAATATTTCATGGATAGCATCGGTCATGCCACTTGGTGCCATGCTTGGATGTCCAGTTATGGCTGGTCTAGTCAACAAATTAGGACGTAAACATCTAATGATAATGTTAACCATGCCTACGCTTATTGGTTGGGCAATGATATTATGGGCTAAATCTGTAAATATTTATATATTTTTTTAAACTAATTTTAATTAGAATTGTTAATGAAGATGATATTCTTTAAGGTGATATGGATCTGTGCAGGAAGATTTTTAACCGGATTTTCTAGTGGATCTTACTCTGTTATTGTACCTTTGTACACTTCAGAAATAGCCGAAAAGGAAATTCGTGGTACTTTAGGGACTTATTTTCAGTTACAAGTTAATGCAGGAATTTTGTTCACCTATTTAATAGGATCCTATGTAAGTTTATACAAAACTGAGTTTTATTTTTAGTTCAAATATTTTATTCTCTTACAGTTTAATGTATTTAATCTATCTGTTGCGTGTGCAATAGTTCCAGCGATTTATATATGCTTGATGTTTTTAATACCAGAAAGTCCAATTTTCTATCTTATGAAAGGAAATGTTGAAAAAGCTCAATTATCGCTAAAATTTTTCCGTAAGCCTGTTGTTCATGTACAACAAGAATTAAATACCATGCAGAGTGCATTAGCTAAAGTATAAACACAAATATAAGATCACAAATTTTAATGATTATTT